TTATCTTCACTTGTCAATACATATTGCACCATTGGCTTTTTCTTGTTTTACATATGAGCAAGGAGGCTGAACAATTTAAGCAATTGAGGACACAACACCCAAAAAACAGCACTCCATAAAGACATTTAACTCTGTGTAAAACTTTGTTTTGGGCCCTTCTTCTGTTTTTTGTGTCACATGTTTTATCTTCAGAGGGTTTGAGGGTTACCCTTTCTTGGGCCAATGTCTACATTCTATTTGTACTGGCGCTGACCCTTCTCCCACTCTTCTTATTAGGTGGTATAGCTGCCCATTCATCTTGGCAAAAAGACTCTAGGTCATGCAAAGTCTTTGGTCGTCTTGCATGAACTGCACGTTTAAGATCTCCCCAGAGTGGCTCAGTGATATTAAGGTCAGGAGACTATGATGGCCACTCGAGAACCTTCACCTTTTTCTACTGTAACCAGTGGAGGGTCAACTTGGCCTTGTGCTTAGGGTTATTGTCGTGCTGGAAAGTCCAAGAGCATCCCATGCGCAGCCTTTGTGCAAAAGAATGCAAATTGTCTGCCAGTATTTTCTGATAACATGCTGCATTCATCTTGCCATCAACTTTCACAAGATGTCCTATGCCTTTAGAGCCACCACCATGCTTCACACCTCTCTAAACATAGCAATTATGGACCATATAGCTCTAATTTGATCTTGTCACTGCAAATTACAGTGTGCCAGAAGCTATGAGGCATGTCAAGGTGTTGTCGGGCATATTGTAACTGGGTTTTTCTGTGACCATAAAGGCTTCTTTCTGGCAACTTAACCATGCAGCTAATTTTTGTTCAAATATCGTTGCATTGTGCTCTTTGAAATAACCACACCATCTTTTTCCAGAGCACCCTGTATTTCTCCTGAGGTTACCTGTGGGTTCTTCTTTGTATTCTGAACAATTCTTCTGGTAGTTGTGGCTGAAATATTTCCTTGTCTACCTGACCTTGAATTGGTATCAAGATATCCCTGAATTTTCCACTTAAGGGATTGAACAGTACTGACTGGCATTTTCAAGGCTGTGGATATATTTTTTATCTCCTTTTCTATCTTTATAAAGTTCTATTACCTTGTTACGTAGATCTTTTGATAGTTCTTTTCTGCTCCCTATGGCTCAGTAGCTAGCCTGCTCAGTGCATCTAAGTGAGAGCCAACAAACTCATTGACTATTTATACAAAGACACTAATTGCAATTTAAAAAGCCACAGCTGAGGGAAAATAACCTGTAATTGCCATTTTAACCTGTGTATGTATCCTTGTGTACCTGTAATAAAGCCAAACATTCAAGGGTATGTAAACTTTTGATCAGGGCAATTTGGGTGATTTATGTTATCATTATGATAAAAAAGACCAATGCCAAATTGTCAAAACGTCCCATTTTCTGCCAGGGTATGCACACTTTGTAAGTGTGTGTATGTGTGTGTGTGTGTGTGTGTGTGTGTATACAGGGAGTGCAGAATTATTAGGCAAATGAGTATTTTGACCACATCATCCTCTTTATGCATGTTGTCTTACTCCAAGCTGTATAGGCTCGAAAGCCTACTACCAATTAAGCATATTAGGTGATGTGCATCTCTGTAATGAGAAGGGGTGTGGTCTAATGACATCAACACCCTATATCAGGTGTGCATAATTATTAGGCAACTTCCTTTCCTTTGGCAAAATGGGTCAAAGAAGGACTTGACAGGCTCAGAAAAGTCAAAAATAGTGAGATATCTTGCAGAGGGATGCAGCACTCTTAAAATTGCAAAGCTTCTGAAGCGTGATCATCGAACAATCAAGCGTTTCATTCAAAATAGTCAACAGGGTCGCAAGAAGCGTGTGGAAAAACCAAGGCGCAAAATAACTGCCCATGAACTGAGAAAAGTCAAGCGTGCAGCTGCCACGATGCCACTTGCCACCAGTTTGGCCATATTTCAGAGCTGCAACATCACTGGAGTGCCCAAAAGCACAAGGTGTGCAATACTCAGAGACATGGCCAAGGTAAGAAAGGCTGAAAGACGACCACCACTGAACAAGACACACAAGCTGAAACGTCAAGACTGGGCCAAGAAATATCTCAAGACTGATTTTTCTAAGGTTTTATGGACTGATGAAATGAGAGTGAGTCTTGATGGGCCAGATGGATGGGCCCGTGGCTGGATTGGTAAAGGGCAGAGAGCTCCAGTCCGACTCAGACGCCAGCAAGGTGGAGGTGGAGTACTGGTTTGGGCTGGTATCATCAAAGATGAGCTTGTGGGGCCTTTTCGGGTGAGGATGGAGTCAAGCTCAACTCCCAGTCCTACTGCCAGTTCCTGGAAGACACCTTCTTCAAGCAGTGGTACAGGAAGAAGTCTGCATCCTTCAAGAAAAACATGATTTTCATGCAGGACAATGCTCCATCACACGTCGTCTCCACAGCGTGGCTGGCAAGAAAGGGTATAAAAGAAGAAAATCTAATGACATGGCCTCCTTGTTCACCTGATCTGAACCCCATTGAGAACCTGTGGTCCATCATCAAATGTGAGATTTACAAGGAGGGAAAACAGTACACCTCTCTGAACAGTGTCTGGGAGGCTGTGGTTGCTGCTGCACGCAATGTTGATGGTGAACAGATCAAAACACTGACAGAATCCATGGATGGCAGGCTTTTGAGTGTCCTTGCAAAGAAAGGTGGCTATATTGGTCACTGATTTGTTTTTGTTTTGTTTTTGAATGTCAGAAATGTATATTTGTGAATGTTGAGATGTTATATTGGTTTCACTGGTAATAATAAATAATTGAAATGTGTATATATTTGTTTTTTGTTAAGTTGCCTAATAATTATGCACAGTAATAGTCACCTGCACACACAGATATCCCCCTAACATAGCTAAAACTAAAAACAAACTAAAAACTACTTCCAAAAATATTCAGCTTTGATATTAATGAGTTTTTTGGGTTCATTGAGAACATGGTTGTTGTTCAATAATAAAATTAATCCTCAAAAATACAACTTGCCTAATAATTCTGCACTCCTGTATATATATATATATATATATATATATATATATATATATATATATATATATATAAATATATATATACACATATACATACATATATATACAAATGCAGATTTTTTTTGTTATCCTTGCTGCATGACTGACTAACTACACTAACTACCATTTTATGATATGCTGAACTCACTATAGAATGCAACAGAATAAGGTGGAGCTTGACTGACAATAACAAATTATCCTAATTTTTGTTTTCTCAGCTGGATCTTAGAAGCAGTATCAGCTATTAGAAATTCTACATAAGTGTGTAGTATTAAACTGATTTGCATCACTTAAAATTTATTTTAAAAAAAATCAATTTTATCATTTTTAATATTTCATGTACAAAAGCAGTAAAAAAAAAAAATCAAGGTTCTTGTTCTGCCCTTTGGAAATAAGTCTTCAATTTTTAAAAACCATGCCTTTTTGTGTTTGTGTCATATTTTTCATCCTTGATTTTTGCTATTTTGTCCTGTTCATTGCTGACACATCTCTTGTATTAGGCAATTGTAAAAGCATTTGACCTATTTACACTCAAACTATGATTTCCCTAAATCCCACTGCTACTCTTTGGAGCCTATTTTTTGAAAGGTCAGTTGTACATTTTGTAGTTGAAAAATAAGCACTTGGCTCTATTGTTTAAAGGGCTACTGTTTGAAATCATAATCCTTTCAAACCTTCATCTTTAACTTTATAACAGAAATAAAGTTTGCGATAAAAATGGTTTGGCTTCAAACAATCTTATAAGTATTTCAATTAGTTGAGTTTTTATGTGGAATAGCTACAGGCTAAATCAGTCTAGTCTGAAAACTAGTTATCTGATTTTCAAGATGGTTTGATACAAGTTTCAAAATAACCTGTTCATCACCTAAAGGTATATTCTCTATACTGTCAGTTGTATTGAAAACCAGCTCATGAACTTTAGCCTGAAATAGTTAATGTGTTTGCTGTTATAACTTCTCAACCCAATTCAGGATACAGAAGATCGATATTTCCTAGTTGGCAAGTTTATTCTTTATTTTGCAAAGTAGTGATTAATAGTTTAACCCCTTAATGTTGGTACAGCATACTATGGCATTGTTCACTAACTGGGCTTAAAAGCCGCTACAGCAGCATAGTAGCAGTAATGGTTTGCAGCTTTCCACAACCAATATACCTACCTACCACAGTGATAACAATCGGGGGTCTGCCTTAAAACCCAGGAGGTCCCCCTGCAGCAAATCTAGTCCTTCTGGGCCATGTGATAACAATGACATTGTGATTACATAGCCTAATTGGCAGCCCAAACTACTGACTACAGGAAGACTACTTGGGTTGTCAGACAGTCCCCCAAGCTGAAGTAAAGAATACAGGGGAACAAAATCTTAAATATGTCTACATATTATTTTGTAGATAGATAGATAGAGATTTAGGACTTTGTAGGGATTTTCAAATAAAATTTTACTTTTATTCAATCCATTTAAAAAGTCGCTATGCATGGAACAAGCATAGGAATGCTATGCAATGAATGCAGGGGAACATAAATCAAATTATAGCAATATAGCACATCTCCACAAGCTGTCCGGTCATCTGTATCGCCGGGTACGGAGTCGACGCATGCGTGATTGACGCATGCGCGATGACGTCATCCAAATGCGACCGGCAGTTTTCGCGGGGCAATTGACCAGACAGCTTGTGGAGATGTGCCTCTAACCAGGTGGGGTGAGTACACTGTTTGATTAGTGTTTATTGGTGCAGTATATATGTACACTCTTATTACTGGCTAACCTTGTCCTGATGAAAGTCTGATTGTCCAGACTGAAACGTTGATTTTTAACTTGGAGCATTAAAAGTTAATTTTTATTTGAAGATTAAGTCCGTGGAGTGCTATCTACCTTTATTTCTATATTTTTGCCAGATAAGCACCAGGCAGTGATTCTATTTTACAGTGAGTGCAACACTGCTTGTGTGTGTGTGTGTGTGTGT